AGCTGGATGCAGGGCTCGAACTCACAAACTGTGAGATCATGACCTGAGCTGAAGTCCAAAGCTTAACCGGCTGAGCCACCCAGTTGCCCCTATTTTAAAATTTTATTTATTTATTCTTGAGAGAGAGAGAGAAAGAGAGAGAGTGTGTGAGCAAGGGAGGGGCAGAGAGAACCCCAAGCAATCTCTGTACTGTCAGTGTGGAGCCCTACTTGGGTATTGAACCCACAAACCATGATATCATGACCTGAGCCAAAACCAAGAGTCAGATGCTTAACCAACTAAGCCAGCCAGGTGCCCTGACCCCTTTTCTTTATCAGTTAGACATGCGGGTTTTTATTAATGTGTCTTTTTGATCTGAGGCATACATTTTCCTAGTCTAACAAGGTATTTTATAACAGTCTTCAAGCTCCCTGCAGCCTTTACATTCTTAGCTACTATTTTTTGTTTTTACCTATCCAATAAATACTCAGGAACTATAAAATCTTTGTGTACAGTACCTTCAACAAATATTGATTATTTTTGCTCAAATTTTCAGTGCTGAATGTGTAAAATTCCAAAAATAAATCTAGGTTATTTTTATTTCTTAAAAAAAAAAAGAATTGGTAATGAACTTAAATATACTTTGCCAGATAATAAAAACACTTCCCTTCTCCAACTTTGCTGAGGAAACTGAGAACCAAGTGATTTATAAACTTGAAACAAATGTCATGTCTTATCAAGGACAAGAACTAGGTCTAACTTGACTACATAGATTCCCTGATCTTTCTGAAGTTGGGATACTGTGGATTTCTTAGCTATCCACCACTACCATGATTATGACAACTTAAAAAAGAGGTTTTACTTCAATCTTTTAAAATTTACTGTTCCATGTCTTACAGTGTGTAGTGGATTTTTCCATATATTCCACACATAGGAAATATATGTGAAATTTACATTTTCTAACTAATCTTACACTGTTGAGGTAACTGGAGTTATTTTTAAAGTACAGAAAGCGGTTGGCATTCTCCAAATTTTCTCCTTTCTTTTTTATTTCCCCAAACAAGGAGAGAGTAAAACAAAAAATAGTGGTGTTTCACAATTAAGCATTAAAAAACAATACAGTAATTTGTACACCTGAAAGGAATGTAACATTGTGTGCCAACCAAACTTCAATTAAAAAAAAAATACAGTAATTCTTTTTTTAGGAGAAACAGAAGAGCTGCAGATCCAAATTATTTCCACCCGATTAATTGCAAATGGCTTATAGAGAAAATGCTATACAGACCTACTTATTATATGAGTGCATCGACTAGACTCAGAGGCACTTTAAAAAAGTGTACAGGCATCCCTTTCAAACTTACTTCCTCTAAACTTCTGGAATTACAGAAATTGCTTAAGTCATTCCTTTGACAATGACTTGATTAACTTTGTTATCAGGTGGAATATGGAAACTACCTAAGGATTAATGTGGCTATTGTTCAAATTAACATTAACAAATTCTTCCCTTTCCAGAGAATTGTAAGCATAATTATGGCCTTTATCTTTCCAAAAGCTCTTGTTATTTAATTATAAGCATTATTTTTCTGATTCTTTGTTAGATTCTTTGAAACAGCGCAGGCAGTGATTGTTTTTATTATTAAAACTTCATTTTGATGAATAGAAACATCAAGGTGCCTACTCTTGAAGAGTAACTTTTAATGCAATACATACTTGAATGTTTAATAATTATTTTTAAAAGCAGCTTTAAGTAAATAAAAGCTCTTTACCAAGCAAGGTCCATGTTTTGTAACTTCCAGCTGTGAAGCAGCCATCATATGAAGCAGCCATATTAAATGTTAATCACTTTAGCTCTACCTAATTAAATATTTAGCCGTACAAAGATATAGAGAAAGTGAAAAAGGTTGAACTTGATTTAATGTATACAATTATTTTGAATCACATTCTGTCCCTGGATGATTATAATCAACTGATGTATCTAGTATTTCACCTTTGGAACCTCGAAGTGCAACACCATTCTAAAATCATTATTGTCATAATCATAGTCATCATTATTGCCATCACAGCTAGTATTTATTAGAAGTTTACTCTGTGCTAGGTTATGTGCTTTACATGTAGAATTTTATTTGCTCCTTACAACAGCCCTATGAGGTAGGTGCTATGATTATTTCCATTCAGAGTCTAAAGCTTAGGAAGGTTAAGTAACTTGACAAATGTCACATAACTAGTAGGTGCCAGATCCCAAATTTGAAAGACAAACTCTGTTTAAGCCCCTTGCTCCTAACCTTTCCTTTATTTTACCCAAAGCCCATGTAATTCCCTTAAACTTAGTATAAATTGGCTTTAATCATGACCTTTTTGTTGACACTCATTTTGGTCTTCTTCATCAGCACATGTTATCCAATAAATGTCCCACGGCAAAAATATATACTTTTGGGGCACCTGGGTGGCTCAGGTCATGATCCCACAGTTCACGAGTTCAAGCCCTGCCTTGGGCTCTGTGCTGACAGCTCAGAGCCTGGAGCCTGCTTTGGATTCTGTCTCCCTCTCTCTCTGCCCCTCCCCCCTCACACTCTGTCTCTCTCTCTCTCTCAAAAATAAGTAAACATTAAAAAGAATAATAAAAGGGGCGCCTGGGTGGCTTAGTCGGTTAAGTGTCCGACTTTCGCTTAGGTCATGGTCTTGCGCTTCGTGGGTTCGAGCCCCGCGTCGGGCTCTGTGCTGACTGCCAGCTCAGAGCCTGGAGCCTGTTTCAGAGTCTGTCACTCCCTCTCTCTGTGACCGGGACTCCCCTGCTCACGCTGTCTCTCTCTCTCCTAGAAATAAAAAAAACATAAAAAAAAGAATAAAATACTTTAAAACATATATAAATATATAAATTTATAAACATATAAATATAGATTTTGAAAGAATAGAGAAACAAGATGTCACTAAGTGAAGAGTTAATCAACAATGAACAAATATAAAGCCAAACACATGATTGTCAGATGAGTGGAGTGGACAGTGAAGAATGTTTGGAGTTGTTTAACAGTCTGGTGTGTCCTGAAGGCTGGAAAGGCTTTAAATAAAAGCGAGGAGGTGAGGGCATCCTCGGAAATAGGTTGAATGCCTCTGGAAAGGCAGAGTCTGGAAAGTGCTGGGTGACTGGCAGCCTGTGGGACTTGTCCTTAGGGCTTGAAAAAGGAGAGGGAGGGTGGAGGGTAGATGGGAAGTGCTGGCTCACACACATTTATACTTGATGTCTTACTCAGTACCAAGGAGAAGTTTAGGCCCTGGTAACAGGTCATCTTTGAATACTCCGCGTTGCATTCGGGTCATTTCATCTCTTCCTCTCCTAGTTGTCGTCATCCTACTAACGTCTCATTTCCCCGTCTCCAAAAACGGGAATCATTCTTGTTCTCTTGGGTTTTCCCCTAGTCATCGAGAATCAGGGGCCACAGTACACAAACAAAAGGAAAACGTAGTATTTTATAAGATAGATTCGTAAAAGTCGTGGAGTATCAGGGACCATCTTTATAAACCAAGCACTGTCAAAAACTTTTGATGAAACAGATCCTCGAACTTCTTTTCTCCTTTCAGTGACAGGCACTTGAAACATTAAAAGGGAGGCAGCTAGCTTTCAGTTACGAACGCCACTGACAATTCCTTTTATGGATGACACAGAATTTTAATTTACTCATTTCACACGTCGTTGTCAACTCTACGTGAAGTTTAAAAGGACAAAGGATGAAAGTGGATTTGGCCGGTTTTCCGTGTTATTTCCACGGTGGGGCAGAGGAGTGGGGGGATTTCCTTTGAGACAAGGCTCGGTGCAGCCAATAATTGCCAGGATTGCCAGACTGGTAATAACAGGCTGATGAAAAGGTGAATACAACGTGAAAACTCTGATTAAATCGAGGCGCCCTCCCACCCTCGTTTTAGACGAGCCATTTTCCTCCTCCTCCTCCCGCCCGCACAGACGGGGCTGAGACAGCATCTGGCATCATAATACCGACATTTGTTCCGTGATTCCTCTTTATCGGGCACGCTCACACACATCACTTCTTAGGAATCGGGATTCACTGGGACTTGTCTGCGTTTTTAAAATAAACGCCGGCTCGAGAGCCTGGGGGCGGAGTTTTTTCACCAGCTGGAAGCACCGCGATGCGGACCCCTCCCCCGAAGAAGCCGAGCTCTCCCCCGGTTTGATGCCGGGCCCGTGACACCTCCACTCTGTCAGTGAAACCGCCGTGACTCACATCTTTGCAGCTCCACCGCCCCCCCCCCCCACGCGCCCCCGGCTCACAAACCCCGCGGACCCAGCCCGAGCCCACAGCGCCTCGTGAAGCCGCCCAAGCCGACTCGGAGGTCTCGAGTCTGAGTCACCCAGGAGGACCACCCTCGTCGGCTCCCCGCCCCCCCACCCCCAGTCCCTCACACCCCGGCGCGCCGGCCGCCCGGCCTCCCCGCCTGACACACCGACGCCCGACGTCCCTGCGCAACTTGTTATGCTCCGGCTCGAGCCCTTGACCCAAAAACCTCCCAGAAACAGAGCGGCAGAGCCCGGCCTCCGGCGGCCTTTGATGGCTTTGTTATTGTTTGGGTTTGAATCGATACGCCCCTCCCCATCCTTCCTCCCTCGCGGCTCGACACCCAGCTCCCGCCTCCCCTCACGCCCCGCGCCCCTCCCCCTCCATTTTGGCGCCTTTTCCTTCCCGCCACGTCGTGGCGGCGTAGAGACCATTCTGACCGCGAGAGCGGGGCGGGGCGTAGGCGGGGCGCGCCGCGTTATGCAGATCAGTCGGCTTCTGGTTGGCTGGAGGCGCGCCGGTGGGGGCGGGGCCGGGGCGCGGCGACGGAGCGCGCGGGGCGGGGGCCGAGGGGAGTCGCCCTGTCCCGCCGCTTCCCCACCCCCTCTCCTCCCTCAGCCGGCGCGGCAGCCCGGCTCCCCGCCTAGGCCTCCCGGAGAGGCCCCGCCCCATCCCCGCCCGCCTGCGCCCCCCCTACCGCCGGCGCGCTCCGCCCCTTTACTCCTGGCGGCTGGGCGAGCCGGGCGTCTGCTGCAGCGGCCGCGGTGGCGGAGGAGGCCCTACAGGACTTGGCGGCAGCGGCGGCGGCTGTGGCGGGACCGGCAGCAGCAGCAGCAGCTACAAGCTCCCAGTGCCGCGGCGCTGCCGCACGAGCCCCACGAGCCGCCCACCCCGCCGCCCTCGGCGCTGCCTGACCCCGCCGGCGTGTCCGCCAGCCGCCAGCCCCGGCAGCGCCCCCAGTCGTCCTCCGACTCGCCCTCGGCCTTCCGCGCCAGCCGCAGCCGCAGCCGCAACGCCACCCGCAGCCTCAGCTCCAGCCACCGGCACAGCCACCGGCACAGCCCCAGCCCCAGCTCCTGCTGCAGCTCCTCGAGACACCGTCCCTACGCCGACACCCTGGAGGTTGGGATGCTCTTGTCCAAAATCAACTCGCTTGCCCACCTGCGCGCCGCGCCCTGCAACGACCTGCACGCCACCAAGCTGGCGCCCGGTGAGCGTCCACCCCCCCGTCCCCAGCCCGGGCTGGGGAGGCGGCTGGACCCCCAGGGTTGGGAGCTTCGGGTGGGAGCTCATGGGCCGGCACTGAGTCTCCTGTGCCTCCCCCTTTTCTAGGCAAGGAGAAGGAGCCCCTGGAGTCGCAGTACCAGGTGGGCCCGCTCCTGGGCAGCGGCGGCTTCGGCTCGGTCTACTCAGGCATCCGTGTCGCCGACAACTTGCCGGTGAGTGGGCGCCCCGCCGTGGGGAGGGCGCGCTGGGCGGGAGACTCTGGGGTGTGCTTTGGCCCCGGTGAGGGGACCTAATGGAGCCTCTTTGGGGGGGTTTGCAGGTGGCCATCAAGCACGTGGAGAAGGACCGGATTTCCGACTGGGGAGAGCTGGTGAGTGCCTTGGAGTGAGCGACCCTCAAGGATGGGTGGGGGTGAGGGGCACCCTCCGACTCCCGCCCTAACGCACACCCCCCCTCCCCCTCGCCCCTGCAGCCCAATGGCACCCGAGTGCCCATGGAAGTGGTCCTGCTGAAGAAGGTGAGCTCGGGCTTCTCCGGCGTCATTCGGCTCCTGGACTGGTTTGAGAGGCCCGACAGTTTCGTCTTGATCCTGGAGAGGCCCGAGCCGGTGCAAGACCTCTTCGACTTTATCACGGAAAGGGGGGCCCTGCAGGAGGAGCTGGCCCGCAGCTTCTTCTGGCAGGTGCTGGAGGCGGTGCGGCACTGCCACAACTGCGGGGTGCTCCACCGCGACATCAAGGACGAGAACATCCTCATCGACCTCAGTCGCGGCGAGCTCAAGCTCATCGACTTCGGGTCGGGGGCGCTGCTCAAGGACACCGTCTACACGGACTTCGATGGTGAGCCAGGCCTGGGATGGAGCGGCCGGGGAGGGAGCTGCCCAGGTGACTTGGCCTTGCCCGGAGGCCTCGGCCCGCTTCCCTCTCCGGCGCTTTGTAAAGGTCATCGGGCCGTCTGGCTCCATGCTAGCAGGGGTGGGGCGAAGGAGAGCTTCCCAGCGTAGTAAAAGCCGGAGATTTCCAGCCAGCTGAACCTGTCATGTTTCTGGCATGATTTTATTTTTTAAGTGGAATTCAGTGGGTTCCAAGCTTTCCCGATGAATAAGAGGTTGTGGGCAACCGGCCGTAGCCCAGATTTCTGAAGTCTGACCCAGTTTCCCCGCCAGTAAAAGGATGGGGGGGAGGGGGAAGGGAGGAGAGAGCGGGAGAGATGAAAATTGATGCCGGTTTTGTAATTTTTGTTTTGTTTTATAAAGGAGTTTTCTGTGATGTAGTTTTTAAGAGCTGCAGCTTTTCTCCTCTTTGATCTAGGCACGGATAAAGGGATAGAAACAGTTTCACTAAATAACTCATTTTATTGTGCTGCTTCCTTATTTATTTATTTTTTGGCGTTGTGGGGTGAGGGAGCCGGGAATGAGTGTTGTGAAATAAGATCTCTTGCTGGTTTGAAAATTAGTTGGGTGTCTCCGCAGAGAGGATGAAAACCTACCCTAGGGAGGGGCTTGGAGCCGGTTCCTTCTGAAAAGATGGAATTGAGAGCCGGAGATCAAAGCAAAGGAGGGTGGGTCATCATCTGAGCGGCTTAACCTAACCAACTACAGCCTTTCAAAACTTGTGACTGGGGCTTGTGGTTCGTGTTTATTTGCCCTTGGAGGACGCCGGGTTGGGCAGCATTTTTTTGTATTTAACAGTTAATGGCTGGCCGGGTCCTCCCTTGTTTTTTCCTCTGAGTCTTTGCTGCCCCCTGGTGAGCACAAGCGGGATGGCCCCCACCTTTTTTTTTTTTTTTTTTTTTACAACCCAAAGTTTGTAAACAGGAATCACGTGGTCTGAAACCGGCTCTGCAGCGCTGTCTACCTTGGCAGTGGGGGGAAGAGAGGGTGCGGGTGTCGTCCCGGCGCCCAGAGGGTGGGGAGGAAGGCCTTTCAAAGGGCGCCCTGACTTTTAGGATGTTGTGTACTGTATAAGGACCCCCGACTGGATGGTATCAGAGGAGAATCACCCAGCTGCCTGGGCCACCTTAATGCAGTTCAAGGGTACTCTGGGATACCTCCCAGGATCCTGCAGACTTTCAGCTCTTCAGCCCACTGTGGGTGGTCCTAGCACATGAGGGCCTCAGGCCTTGGGTTTGTGGCCAGCGCTGTTTGTCTCTAGGAGCAGTTTGTAAAGAATTTTGGTTTTCGGCTTGGGCTGGTAGAGAGGTGGGTGATGCTTTGGGTTGGAAGGGTGCCACCCATCCACTCCGTTTTTCTTCTAGGGGGAGAATAGAGTTAGCCAAGCTCCTGTCCTGGGAGAAGTGGAGTGGTGCTTTTGGTTTTTAAGAGTCACTCAGTATATGAGTTGCTTCGTTTATTTTCGCTAAAAGCGTGTTTTCCTTTCTATTCCCCCGGCTCACAGGGACCCGAGTGTATAGCCCTCCAGAGTGGATCCGCTACCATCGCTACCATGGCAGGTCGGCCGCCGTCTGGTCTCTGGGGGTCCTGCTGTATGATATGGTCTGCGGAGATATTCCTTTTGAGCATGATGAAGAGATTATCAGGGGCCAAGTTTTCTTCAGGCAGAGGGTCTCTTCAGGTAATTTTTGGGAAGCCCCTTGTTGAAGAGAAGCAGGAATCACAAGGCTGTTAGTCCTCGGGGGACAGTCCTTGAATTCCGGAGAGCTGGCACTCAGGAATTGGATGCTCTGCTCTGAGCATTCCCCCGGGAGGCCACAGGGAGGGCAGGTGTGAGAATATTGCAAAGAAAAGACCATCTCGTTTTGCCGAGAGGTTTTTTTGGTTTTGTTTTTGTACCAGCAGCCCTGATCCCCTCCACTCCTGGCTATTTTGCCACGGAGTGAAAAGTTGAGAGTTCTCAGAGCCTTCTCCCTTAAGGCAGACTCTTCTAAATATTGTGGTTCCAGTGACCTCATTGTGGGTGGCGTTCATATTTGTAAGTTGTAGGTGATTTGAATCACCTCATCATGCTCACGGATGTCTCATCAAAATCCCTTGTCATCATTTCTTCCTGTTTCTAGTGAGTGGGCGTCGGGGGAAAGGCCCCAGTTATTGACGTTTGAAAACCACAGGTTTAAGAGGGGAGCTGTTTTTTAGCTGAAAGCGGGTCGGAGGATCCAGCCCTTGTAGTTAATACCTCCCCCCCCCCCCCACTGAAAACTAGTTCTAGGAGGTTCTCGGTCTCTGTCAGACCCCAGGCTTCTGTGGGCCCCTGGGAAGCGAATGAGCAAGACCTTTGCACCGTAGAAACGAGTTGAGTCATTTGTAACCTCTATCTGTCCTGCTTCCTGCAGAGTGTCAGCATCTCATTAGATGGTGCTTGGCCCTGAGACCATCAGATCGGCCATCCTTCGAAGAAATCCAGAACCATCCCTGGATGCAAGATGTCCTCCTGCCCCAGGAAACCGCTGAGATCCATCTGCACAGCCTGTCACCCGGGCCCAGCAAATAGCTTTTCCGGCAGGTCTTCCCCTCCCCCCTTCAGATGCTCAAGGGAGGGGAAGCTTCTGGTTCCAGCTTCCCAGAGGACCAGTGACACTTCTCGCCAAGCAGGACAGTGCTTGATAAACAGGAACAGCATTTACAACTCATTCCAGACCCCAGGCCCCTGGAGGCTGCCTCCCGGCCGCAGGGGAAGAGACTCCTCTCCGGGTGTCCCAGGCCCCAGCTCATCCTGTAGATGCTCTCTCCTTTTCAAAGAGCTCCAGCTTTGCTGGACTCGGCAAAATCCTGGGGGTGGGGGGGGTGGGGGGGTCAGAACCCTGCCACAAACTGTTCCCTTCAACACGAGTTCTGCTGAATGCCGCGATGGGTTGGGTAGGGGGGAAACGGGTTGGGGTGGGATAGGACTAGCTACATTTGAAGTCCCTGTCACCTCTTCCGACTCTTCTGAGTGCCTTCTGTGGGGACTCCGGCTGTGCTGGGAGAAATACTTGAACTTGCCTCTTTTACCTGCTGCTTCTCCAAAAATCTGCCTGGGTTTGGTTCCCTATTTTTCTCTCCTGTCCCCCTCCCCACCCCTACATATGAAAGGTGCCATGGAAGGGGCTACAGGGCCAAACGCTGAGCCACCTGCCCTTTTTTTCTGCCTCCTTTAGTAAAACTCCCGCGTGAACTGGTCTTCCCTTTTGGTTTCTACTTAACTGTTTTCAAAGCCAAGACCTCACACACACACACAAATGCACAAACAATGCAAATCAACAGAAAACCTGTAAATGTGTGTACAGTCGGCATGGTAGTGTACAAAAGGATTGTAGTTGATCTAATTTTCTTTTTTTAATTTTGCCTTTAAGTTATTTTACCTGTTTTTTTTGGGTTTTCTTCCTTTTTTTTGTTTTTGTTTTTTGTTTTTTGTTTTTTTTTTGGAAAAGATACGCATTCTAACCTGGAGGTCAACGTTATGTATTTATTTATTTATTTATTTGGTTCCCTCCCTGCTCCAAGCTTCCACGGCTGCTGCCACAAGTTTCTTTTCCTCCTTTTCCTCTGACTTGGGGACCTTTAGGGGAGGGCCTGCTCTGTTTGTAGGGTGACGGGACTCAGGCGGGACAGCTGCTGCAGCTCCCTGATGGCAGCGGGGGGGGCCCCCCTCGCCCACCCGCCCGCGTGGGGGTGGGGGCCGGGAAGGGGCATTGCTAACTGGTGTACATAGGATACATATATGAAAAGCAGTTCTGGACGGTGTGCCTTCCGGATCCTCTCGGGCTGTGTTCCGAGCAGTATGTAGCCTGCTGGTTTTATCTGAGTGAAATACTGTACAGGGGAATAAAAGAGATCTTATTTTTTTTTTTTTTATACTTGGCGTTTTTTGAATAAAAACCTTTGTCTTAACTCCGCGGCCTTTAAGTGTTGTCTGTGCCGAGGGGGTGCTCCGGGGGTTCTCGTTTATTGAACTGGCAGGCGCCTTGGTCTCCTAGGGGAAATGTGAACGTTAAGCCTAAATCTGGCTTCCTTCAACAGGACTTGTGGGCTAGGCACCTTTCTGAACTAAATATGTGGCCAAAGGGGTGGGGATGGGGAGCAACCTTTGGTGGACAAAATTTGGCCTGAGGGGTCCAGCCTGTACTCCAGATGGAAAAGGATGCAAAATTCTGGAGCCACATGAACATTCAGTTGGCTTTGGTCACATTTTCTGGGATAGTTACTCCTGGCCAGTGGCAGTGGAACGATAGAACATTTTCGTCACTGCAGAAAGTTCTATTGGACAGGGCTGGCAAGAGATAGCAAACGGCTCTGCTGCTATACTGACAGTGGAAGGTTCCCACCAGCAGAACATTCTGAGCACGCGCACTAGACACGTGCAGCTTACTGAAAAACGATATACCTGTATTACTCTCAGTTCCTGATTCAAGTTCCCTGCACCTTTCGTGTGGGCTTTAGTCATTAATAGCAGATGGGTGGAAATGTTTTTGACTTAAGCAGACCGGGTTTTCCCCTCCGATGTGCTTCACACAGAGCTTTATAATGGGAGTGGATGAAATTACTCTGCCATTTTACTGCTTGTTCTGGGATTAGTATTTTTAGTCTATGATTTCTTTGCATGAATCCGCTTAAGCCTCTTGTTCTTTTTGTGCGATTTTTTTCAAGTAAACTCTACCCCCAGCATAGGGCTCGAACTCCCAAGACCTTGAGTCGCATGCTCAATGAGCCAACCTCTGTCAGAGTTTCATGTAAATGGATGGTAGAACCTATGAATCCACTTAGTGCTCGGGGCCTTAATACATCCTGATAGGCAGTGAGCACGTTGGAGCGTGTACTGCTGTTCATTTGCATATTAAGTATTAGTAAATGTTGGTTTCTTTTTTTCTCAATAAGCAACAGCAAGCACCTCTGACATTCTTTCCCCGTGGGTCATCCTGCTCCCTCCCCTCCGTGCTCTTGAACACCCTTTGGACGCTGGCCAGATGCTGTCTTGTCAGGTTGCTTAGGGTCTGGGTCACGATATTTCTCATTGTCTGCCCTTACCCTTGGACTAGACCCCCAAGCGCTAGCTCAGCCCCCCTGTGGCTGTGGGAGAGGAAGTATTTTTCGGTTTTGGGGGCTGAGTTTTTGAGTTCCTCTTTCCTCCCCACCCCCGCCCGAGCACACACACAAACTCCCAATGTCTTGGAGCATGAGTGCTGTATGCCTCATCCTTTCCAGTAAAGTTGACACTTGAACACTCAAAAGTTGCTCCAAACTTCTAACGAAATCTTGCAAAGCCCCACCCATCTCTCCCTTGAGGTGAATTTCTGGCAGTTTCTCCTATTGAGACAGCTAGGGGTGATGGAAGACAGCGTCTCTTTGAAGAAATACAATATCGTGCTCCTATTATAGGGTGCAGGATATTAGGGGTCGTATGGGAAGGGGGAAAGCACGTTTAGTCTCTTCTCGCTGGCAATCAACAATCATGAGTGCGGAAAGGGAGTCCACGACTAGTAAGACCGTGGCCACAGGAATATTGGGGGAGCACCAGCTTGGGACTCACTCTTGAGCTCTGATTCTATCACCATTACCTGGATGTCTTGGGCAAGTTCTAATCTGCAAATAGAGATATTCATTGATTGGATTATTAGGAAGAAGGAATTAAACAAGGTGTGTACTACTTGCAAACAAACACTATCCCCTGCTTAGGGATGCATCTAGATGTGATCAAAGTTCTGAGGTGGAGGGGCAATAGAGTCTGGATAGTGGTCCTTACTTCTGGGGAGGAGGAAGGGAAGCTATGACTTGGGGAGGGGTATCTGCACAGGGGCCTTTGTCTGTTTGGGCAATGCTTTATTTCAGAGACTAGATGGTAAACACTAAGGTATTTGCATTATTACCCCCTTAGAGCCCTTTGTAAAGTAGGCTCTAAGCCCAACATCAGGCTTGAACTCATGACTCCAAGATCAAGAATGGTATGCACTACTGACTGAGACAGCCAGACGCCCCCACATTGTTCTTTACAGCTTTTGGTTTGTCTTAATATTGCATGATAATTTTTAAATTTTAATTTATTTTTTTAAGTTTATTTCTTTTGAGAGAGAGCGTGAGTGAATGGGGGAGGGGAAGAGAGAGAGGGAGAGAGAGAATCCCAAGCAGGCTCTGTGCTGACGGCACAGCCCCATCTCACGAACTGTGAGATCATGACCTGAGTGGCAATCAAGAGTCCGATGCTTAACGGACTGAACCATCCAAGTGTCCCGATTAATTAATTTTTTAAATGTTTTATTTATTTTTGAGAGAGAGAGAGAGACTGCATGAACAGGGGAGAGACAGAGTGAGAGGGAGACACAGAATCTGAAGACAGGCTGGGGGTCTGTCAACACAGAGTCCGATGCCGGGCTGGAGCCTAGAAACCATGAGATCATGACCTGCGCTGAAGTCTCAGGTGCGGAGAGAGAGGGGCAGAGGGATCGGAGGTGAGCTCTGCACTGACTGCAGAGAGCCTGATGTGGAACTTAAACTTACCACCTGAGCCACCCAGGCACCCCAGGTTTTATGTTTTTAAGTGGTTGCTAAAAGATCAAATGAAAGACAACATTCTGTAATGTGTAAAGTTTATATGAAATTTAATAGTGTTCAAAAATAAAGTGCGTCCATTTATGTATAGTCTAAAGCTGCTTTCATGCTACAGGGGCAGAGTTGAGTAGTTGCGACAAAGACCTTAAGGCAAAGCGAAAAATATTTACTACCTGGCGCTTACAGAAAAAGTGTGCTAACCTCTGCACTAGACCTACATTTTTCATAACACTCAGTGACAATAGCTAACAGTCATTCAGTACCTACTGTGTGCCCAACATCGTTCTGCATGCTTTGCATGTATTAACTTATTTAATCTTTCAGCTCTCCATAAGGTAGGTACTATTCATTCCCATCTCACAACAGATGGGGAAAACTGAGGGACAGAGCAGTTAAGTACCATGTCAAAGCTCATGTACCCAAGAAGTGGCCAGGTCAGAATTTGGACCCAGGCAGTCCATGCTCATTACTACTCTGTCATACTGCCACTTAAAAAAAGGTTTGTGTGAGTTAGCCAACCCCAGGTCGTTTCAGGGCCCAGGATCTGGAGGTCAAGATAGTTTCTCCCCAGACTTCAGGGAGTCGGGTAAGTAGTTCTGTTCCGTGGAAATATTCATTGTTGGCTCTGGTGAGCTGCCCTTCGCTTGAGCCTGGGTGGGGAGGAAGAGTCAGAGGCGGTAAAGGGAGGAGAGGGAGGATGGGGCGGGGCAGGGAGGGGGGGAGGGAGCGGGGGTTAGGGGTGGGGCAGGGGCACATTTCTTGTAAATGTTGCTCAGCTCCTTCAACTGCTCTGCTGGTTCTTGGAAACCCTCACCACAAAGGACCTATCGACAACAGTGTTGAAGCAGATATGGCCTCGCCCCCTAGTTCATTTCCTGCGCAGCCTTGCGCTAGTAACCCCGATTGCCAAGAGCAAGGTTGCAGTGACCCCTCAGTGTCGCTGCGGGAGGAAGTGCAAAAATAAGCAGAACTAGGGTCAAGCTGAGGGGACAGTCTTTATTTTTATTTATCGTAACAGGATATCCGATGTACAGAATTTTATTAATCATAATCCTTGGTTCATGATAGAGTCTCAAGGTCCAAGCATGACCCACTGTATTATTATATTTTATCACACTAGGTGAACTCACCATCCAACTTGAGAAGCAGACGTTAACAATGACGTCCATCTACCTAGATGATCGTCTCTTGGTCCATTCTTCACCTTTCCCAGGTGCAGTTCACGATCCTAAACTTTGTATTTAGCATGCTCTTACATCTCTTTAAAACTTGTCTATTTTAGGGGGACACATTCCTAAATTAGGTAATGTCTAGTTTTCGTTGTTCTTGAACTTGAGTATCGTGTATGTATGTCGCGATCTGGAACTTGCTCTTTTCATTCAACATCGTGTTGTAAAGATTCATGCACATTGTAGCACGTGGTTCACTTTCACTCTCGAATATTCCACCATATGGACAGACATTGGATTGTGGTCAGTGGAGGCCACTCTTTAGGGGAGGCCCAAGTTAATTTACTTAGGAGGTCAGCGCACGCAGCCGGGTGAAGCCCTTGCCCAATACCCTAGGATGAAAGGTAGTGACCACGTAGCCATTCCAGATTTATCCACGGAGCAGCCACCATTGTACAAGGCG